GGGGGGGGGGGGGGGGGGGCCGGGTGTACGGGGACGACAGACGGATGGACAGAGTACAGACTGAACCTGATATAGTCTGCAGTTTGCAATTCCTTGAAGGAGGGCTCCTTGCAGTTAAGTGATTCACAGAGGATGCAAATCCCAACCCTCCTTGGCTGTTGCTGTTGCCTTTGCGGAAATTCAGATGCCACACATTTGCTGGGCTGAAAAGCCCATGTTTCCCCAAAACTGTCTTTTATTTTTCTACAGTCTCAAGAAATTTTACTAGCACTTACTTATTTTTATTGTGAAACTGCCTCTACTTAAAAAGGAAAGCTTAGACTGACGACAGGATGGATAACATAGTTCAGAGATTATGATTTTAGTGTAAAAGACAAAGGCAAACCCAGAATGTTTTGCTTACAAGGCGCTGTGACACTAATATGTTTTTACAGAGAACAAGTGCGAACCATATTTTTTTAGTTCAGTAAGCCAGAGTGAGCATTGATATGGGCTTAATTTCTTGCAGAGCATAAACCCCAATGACGATTCAACAGGATTAAGCCATTGCTCATTATTCCTTTCTGTATGATGTCCTTGGATTTCAGTTTCTCTACGGATTTACGACAAAGACTCAAAACATTCTAAATTTTCTTAAAAGGATACTTTTCTCCATGTAAGCTTGAAATGGTTATCCTCATAGGCTAAGCACAAGTTTAACATGTTCCAAAGAAGTCTGTACTCTGTGAGCGGAGGTTAAAGAGAGAGAAGGTCCAGGCAAACTCAACAGGTTTTGTTCGTACGGATACAGGGGGAAAGGCACGACTGCTCGTACATTCAGTCCAACCGTCTTCTACAATCCACAGTGGGATGGGGACAGCAAGGAACTCACAACCGAAGGCGGAGCGGTCACAAGCAAGTTGTCATACAGAAAATTAAACCAGCGGGTAGTTTGACCATGCCCTACAACTTAACAAGTATATATTTACTTTTCTTACTTATGAGTTCTCCCTCTCTCTGAGCCTTCCACACTTACCCTGAAACATTTCTTCAAAGTACTATGAAGAATGAAAATGCCCGGATGTGGGCTGCCGGTTCCGGGGGGTAGAGGAATCCAGGAAACACTGAAGAGATCATGCAGGGCCCCTTTTTGGGCCCACTCTCATTCTCCTTATTTTCTACATCCGATGCATTTTGTTCTACCAGCCAAATCCTGTCACTGGGCTAGGACTCTACCCACCCTCTCACCTACCCCATCAGGATCTTCACGGCATTATGGGCAATGTTGGTATGAAAAGCAAGGCTTGTTTGGCTAGAAGCAGCCACCCCTTGACTCTCCCCTGGAATTTGTAGGCTTCCTATCGGGGTCCCTGGAGTTCATGTTGTTGGCACCCACTGCCTGTCTGCCTAGTCTTCTCAAACCCTGCTTCTCCAAGCTTAGATCCACCCTAGCAACTATACCATACAGCATGCCTATCTCATGGACCTCCATCAGTTGAGCGGAAGGAGGACACCAGACACAACCCGAGCCAGTCAAATCAGTTCCCAGAGAAGGCAGAACTGAAAGCGTAACCAACAGTTTAGGCACTTCTCACGTGTCGAACCCAAACCATGGCAGTTAGGCCGTGCGCAAGGCAGTTCTCTCCACTTGGACTGGAAAGCAGGGAAGGCAGGCCGGTAATGGTGATGGAAGCAGATGCTCAGAAAGCAGGGACAAGAGGGGAGAGAAGGAAGTCCCAAAGGTCTCTCTAGTTTCCTTCCAGAATCTTCCTGAGCTCCTAGCTGTTGTCATCTCCTTCCGCAGTACTTCTAAGAAATCCCTTTCCGTTGGTGTAAAGCAGCTGTGGTAACCCCTGGACTTGGGTTTGGGGTTTTAAAACCCAAACCGTCTAAAGGGCACTCTTGAACTGACAAAGGGAGCGCTCACTCTGGGAGTTCAAGGTCAACATCTGACCATTGGCTGAATCCAGTTTGCCAGGCTTCATAAACTGAGTCAATGCTGGGAAGACAATGGCGTCCATCAGTCTGTGCATTTCCTGATCACTATCAGACATTAGGTCAGGACACAGTCTCGGAGTCTCACAGTTGCACACTGCACAGGAAGGGTCTGTGGGACCAAGCAAATAAGCAGCTCCTTCTGATTTATCTGTCTCCTACTAGGAAAAAAGTCGAGTCTCTCCCATCTGTTGAAGACACGGCAGTCAGAGTGAGTAGAGACTCCATCCGGGTCGGTGTTCCTTGAGGAAACTGAGCAAAGAGACATAAGAGAAAAATAGGAAGATGCTGAGAATTGCTTTGGCAAAAGGTAGTATAGATAAGGGAAATTTGAAACTGATGGAAAGGGTGAACCGGCCTGATAAAGCACAGAAAATGAAATTCCCTATGCCTTTAGCGCTAATATAGAAACATGAGGGGTGGAGAGATGACCCCATGGTTATAAAGTGCTTTCTGCTTTCAGGGGGCCAGAGCTCAATTCTCAGCCCCTGGCAGCTCACAACTGCCTGTAACTCCAGTTCCAGGGGTTCTAATATCTCTTCCGGGCTCTGCAGGCTCCTGCATGCATGTGGTTCACATAAACTCACACAAACAAATACGAATGAACGTAATTACAATAGATTACTTTTTAAAAAGCGGCTGGAGAGACAGTTGAGCCAGTTAAGATCACTGGCTGCTCTTCCAAAGGACCCAGGTTCAGTTCCTAGCTCCACATTCTCAACTGTCAATACTCTGGTTGCAGGGGATCTGATACCCTGTTCTGGCCTCTGCAGGTACCAGGCATGTATGTGGTACACAGATACACAGGCAGGTAAAACACCTATACATTTAAATTAAAATATAAAGAAATTAGTATGGTATTTTTTACTTTTCAATTTATTCTTATTTCATCACATTTAATATTCATCAGTATTTTAATATTGCCATTAATATTATAGTAGGATAATATTCTTAATGAGCCCTACTGACAATTTGCGGGTATGGATTGAGGAAAAGCAGTGTTATTTAATAAAAATTCATCTAACTGCCACTATTGTATCTTCCTACCCTATGAGTAAGCAAAATATATTATAAAAAGTATGAATCTTACAGATTTTAAGAATCATAAATCACTTCCATGAGATAATAACTCCAAAATAATATTGCAGAATTCAGCAGTCATAAGTACATAACAGGGAAAAATAATATCCTTCATATACCTCTACTTTCCAAATCTAATTGGACAAATAGCTAATGAGAAGTTAATAATGGTTCCAGCTCAGCTCACCTTTGGTTTCTATTTTTGTCTGTTTTCCATTGCAATAACAAAACACCCAGGCTTGAATATTTATAAAGAAAGAAGGTAGCAGAACTTGGTGGACCATTTCTGTAATTTTAGCATAAGGGAGATGAGGCAGCTGGATCCTGAGTCCAAGGCCAGCCTGGGCTAATAAGTAGACGCTGGATTAAAAAACAAATAAATAAATACAAACAAATACATGGACTTATATTTAGTTCATTTAATTCAGTTTCAGAGACCGAAAGTTCAGCGTCAAGTGTCTTATTGGCTCGGCCTCTGTTGATGGCCTCCTCTGCTCTGACACACCAGAGTGTATTGTATGTGCAAGGGGAAGAGATTCTGGAGCAAAGGTTTGCTCTTTGGAAACAACGTCTCTGAGAAGTCACTCTGGGAAGCCATGTGCAACCCCTGTTGCCCTCGGTGATCTGAGCACCTTCCACTGGGTCCCATCTCTAAACGTTTTACCTCCTTGCACACTGGGAATCAAGCTTTCGACATGTGACCCTTTGGAGGACAATCTGCATCCAGAGCAGGGCAGTAGCCCTGGCCCCTCATCTGCGCCTTATTTTACCCTTTCAGACTTCTGTGGGGGTTGAGGAGATGGTCTGTAAGGCGCTTGTCGCACAAGCATGAGGACCCAAGTTCAATGCCCAGAGCCTGTGTGAAAACGTGGGATTGGTGTAGAAGTCTCAGCATGTTGAGGAGGCAATAGAGACAAATTTGTTCCCTGTCCTCAACAAACATAGAGTCTAAGTAGAGAAGACCTATGATAAAGAGAAAAATAGCAGATTGGATATAAAAATAAATATTGAGAGAGTTGTTCTGATGCCTGTGGGCAGCACAAATGACTGAAGATTCAGGGAAACCAGTAGATACCCTTATTAAAGGAAATCACACAAATGTATGTGCACATAGGGAAAGAGCTAAAAAAAGCCTATGGAAAATCCTGTGAAAGCATGTGTCCCAATCAGAGAAGTCTTCATGAGGAATCGTTTTGAAGCCCACTCTGAAGGGTGGAGAAGAACTCTCAGCAGAGGGCACACAGCATTCTTACCCATCCTGAGCTAAATGAGTACATCCAATACACAGAGAGAGACCAGAACTGTCAGAAGCAAGGAGAAACATGAGGGGTCATAGGGAGAAGGAAGGAGGTGAGATATAGAGCCCTAGGTGTGGGGTCTCTGTGACCTTCATCTTCCTAGCACGAACACGTGACTTTACCAGAGAAGCCATGTCTCTACACCAAAAGCCCAATGGCTCATCTTGGGGTGCCTCTCCTCCGAGTCTTACAAGACCAGAATCATGGTGGCAGCTTCCCAAGGACCATAGGTCTGAGATTCCAAGTTGCCAGTCAGCTGATGTCATCGTCAACTCCTCTAGATTCTTCACTCTCCTTCACATGTGTCTCTCCATCTTTAAGGCAGCCATAGTGAAGTTCTTCTCCCCTGCCCCCCCCCCCGAATTTCTGTGACCGCCTCTGCAAACAGCCCGAGGAAACACTCATGTCTTCGAAGGGCTTATGGAACTCTGTCACATTTAGATCATCTCCCTTAATATCTGCAAAGTTCCTGTTCACAAAATAGAGCCCATGTGTTGTTGTTGTTGTTGTTGCAGGCTTTTTGTTCCATTTTGTATTTTTTGTCTTATGGATTTTTTTTTTTTTGGTTTTCATTTGTGATAGCTTTTTTTTTTTAAGAGAGAGAACATAAAGTTGGGTGGGTAGGGAAGTGGGAATGATCCAGGATGAGTTGGGAGAGGGGGAAAAATATGATCAGAACATATTGTGTAAAAATAAGTTTAAATGAAGTTTCTGTTCCATGTTTTCTAGTTTGTTTCTCTCTTGCTGTAATAAACACCAAGACCGAAAACAACTTAGGAGGAGTGGGTTTATTGACCTTCTGCTACCACATCAATATCTAACATCCAGGAAGGTCAGGGCAGGAACTCAAGCAGAAACAGAGGCCGGGGCCATGGAAGAGAGCTGCTTACTGGCTTGCTTTCAGCTCCGTTCCTTAAACCTCCCAGGACCATCTGCTCAAGGGTAGCACCACCCATAGTGGGCTGGGTCCTCCCACATCAATTACTAATCAAACAAAAAAAAATGCTGCCATATGATGGGAGAATGTCTTTCTGTATGCTGCAAATATGTGTTGCTCTGATTGGTTGATAAATAAAGCTATTTGGCCTATGGTAAGACAGCTTAGAGGCAGGCTGGAAATTCAAAGAGAAAGACAGGAAGAAGGCTGGGGGAGACGCCAGCCAGCCACCCACCCAAGGAGCAACATGTAATGGGACGCAGGTAAAACCACAGACCATGTGGCAATACATAGATTAATAGTTATGGGCTAATTTAAGATATAAGAGCTAGCTAGCAAAAGGCATGAGCCATGGCCATGCAGTTATAATTAATATAAGCCTCTGTGTGTTTACTTGGGGGTGCGAGTGGGAGAGATTTGTCCTGACTGCCTGCAGGCTGGGACACAAGAAATCTTCCGGTTGCAGCCATAGGCTTGCCTACGGGCAATCTGATGGAGGCGATCCCTCAATTAAGGTCCTTTCTTCCCAGATAACTCCAGCTCGTGTCAAGTTGACAAAAAACAAAGCAAAACAAAACTGACCAGCACACCATGTGATCTATCCCAGTCCTGGGAGTACCACCAGAGAGCAAAGGTCAGAAGCCATCTAAAAATCTGTCTACCACAGGAGTCTAGAGATAGACTCAGCTTCAAATGCTGACAGGACTATTAACTGTCTCAGGAGCTGGGCCATGCTAAACAGATGTCCTCGTCAATAACAGGTCCACGACAGGAGTGTTCAGTTCATGTTTGCTGCCTTTCATAAAATAATGCCCACAGAGTGACCGGTAGAACACTGGTTACTTCAGAGCCTAACAAGCATTAACTATTACTTTGGGAAGAAATTTGAGCTATGAACAAAAGAGGTGGTTTGTGTGGGCTTTGTATTCAATTTAAGATGGAGTACGACTGTTGGAGGCATAGTAAGTGTCAGCTATACATGATTTATCTTTTAAACCCTACAGGCAGTCTCTTCTAACAAGTTAGTTTTAAAGCACTGTGCTGCTGTCTCTTGGTGAGCTCATGTTTACACTAAGAGATGAAGGTTTTCTAGTATAACATGTATCTGATGGGCATAATGGGAGGCGGTAAGCACAATAACCCAAGGTTCAGGGGTTCAAGTCTCCCTGCAACCTCTACTGCTTAGATGTTCGGACAGATTTTCACGAGTGTCTCTATGCCATGATTTTCTTAGTAAACAATGAAAACAATCCTTGACCTATAGGAATTAGTGTGAGGATTTCAAACTCGATAACTGTAAAGTACTTGAAACAGGTACCTAGCTTTTACCTTGCACTCAATCAATGTCAGCTGTTAAAAAGTGAGACAGGCCTAACCTCAGATATTAATGTCAGGCACTCCTCTGCACATGGCTTCCATAGACAAGATAACAGTTTTCTGAGAGTTCTAGTTTTGCCAGCTTCCTAAGCAGGGCTGATGAGGTCTTGCCTAGACACAGTCTGCAATTACTGCAGTGAATCCGGTTTATCAAGTATTTCAATTGGATAATGGAAACACAAACTGAATTTGGGAATTGATGCTGACGATATTTTAAAGTTGAAGATGATAGGCAGTATTGGTTATAATGATTATGTCCTTTTTCTTCCTGAAAACTCCCAGAAAATGCTTTGCAAAAGCTGCTAATCCTTTGACTCCTTAATAGCAGTCAGCTTCCCTCTTACAGAGCACTGTGAAGTTCACAAGCAGATTTCCAGGATTTTCACTGAATCCATCCAAGTGTGGTGGAGGAGGGAAACCCCAGTGTTCATGGGGGGAGTAAACTGGCTCATAGTGAATCCCTTCCTCCATGTGATGCCTGAGAGAGGCTGATGACAAAGCCCTTAGGAGAGGGAAAGGACAGGAAAAGAAAAGAAGGAAGAAGAATACAAGAATACAGAACACTGTCCGCTAAAGCAGTTCCTACCCTAAATCAAAGACAGTTGGTGAAGATCATGA